AAGTCAAAAGGTCAGTCACAAATTGAAAACAGAAAATCACTACACATTGTATAGAAATATAGCCAACATGTATAATAATGATGAACAGAAAACTTGGAGCATACTTTGACAAATGTTGTAATCTAATGAGCGAAATTCATTGGTGTCCTTACAACTGGGAAAAGAAAGTCATAAAGTTTGCTAGTATACGCCAGAGGTGCAAGTCGTGACTTGGACTCGAGTCAGACTTGAGTCATTATTTTTAGGACTTGAGACTTGACTTGATAAAATGGACCAAGACCTTTGACTTGACTTAGACTTGAAGGTCACTGACTTGGGACTTGAGTCGGACTTGAGGCCTGTGACTTGAGAAGACTTGATGCTTCTCCTAAAAAAATATTTTTTTAGAAATTACTTTTCTCTTTACAGTTGTTAAATGCGGTTCTTAATTTGAACTTGTCCCTCCTCTATTTGTTACTTTGGATGTAACTGAAGTACTGTGATATGGTATCCTCAAATGTGCTACAGTAATATACAGTACAATACAGTAATATACAGTAAAACAGAGGGAATTGCATAGAACATGATCCTTCCATTTCAGACACAGCACTTTTAAAAACTGAATTGTTTCTACTCTGACTGTAATGATTCACACTAAGATCTTGTCAAGACATCTGAAAAAGGAAAAATTTACATTTCTACAACTCTTATATAAATCCTCACATATAAATATACCATGACTTTTTAAGTACAATTTAGTTTAAAAGTCATATAAACTGCAAAAATCTAAGGTATATTTGGTACTTTTATTTATTTACTTTGTTTTCAGCAAAAAGGTAAATACATTTTCTACTCTTTTGTCTTTAAAAAGATCCCAAGAATTTACTGTACAAAAGAAGACAAAATGAATGTCGATTATTATGCTGTTGCACAAATTGAAACAGGAAACTGTGGTAGCATAGTGAAATACAGGCATTTAATAGTATGGAAATAAACATAAACAAAGATGAAAGTAAAATGTATACATAACATTGGAGTGGGAAGAAATGTTTAATCCTTCCTGCTTTGTATCTGCACTATATAACAGACTTCAAATAATACTATAAAACTATATAATCGTCTCAGTTCTTCTCTCATATTTCATCCCTGTAGCTTCTGAAAATGTGCTTTTTATACTTGAACTGCCTTATGTTTATATTAATTGTATTTATTAAGGATAATAATGAAGGCAGATGCTGAGGAGGGCTGTTTGGGGTTTTTCTGGGAGGTGATTGGCTCTTGGGTGGGAGCGGCTCAGGAACGAAGAGACGGAGCAGAGGGACCATATGGGGTTAGTACAAGAACAGTTTGTGTGTACGATGTGATCCTGCTGCACTTTTCTAGCGGAGGGTCTGCCAGCTTGTGCTCAATTTTAAGTGTTTTTGTTTTGTTTTACCACAGATCTGACATCAACTTGGCCTGTCATCCCCATGGCAATAGATACATTCAAAGCCATACTTTGAAATATTGCTACCAATGCAATAACAACAGAAGCCGAGAGGGGTCACAACAAACGCAAACGCCGCAACAAATACAAATGCGACAAAACACAACAAAAAGCCACAACAAACCAAAAAAAGCCACAACACACACACACACACACACACAAAAAACACAACGGAAATGACGGGACTCTATTTTAATGCAAACGCCGCAACAAATACAAACGCCACAACACAAACACAAATGCCTCAACACATTAAAAAGCCACAACACATCAAAAAGTCACAACGGAAGTGACCGCGGGACTCTATTTTCCGACAGACCGATCAAGCTGCAAGTGAAGAAGAAGAACTACAATGTGAAACGAATAATGATAAAACAATAAATTACTTTTACTGACGTTTTCAACTTCTCCGTTCCTTTACTTTTCACGTTGTAGTCCTTCTTCTTCACTTGCCGCTTGATTGGTCCGTTGGAAAATAGAGTCCCGCTGCCACTTCTGTTGTGGCTTTTTGATGTGTTGTGGCTTTTTAATGTTTTGTGGCATTTGTGTTTGTGTTGTGGCGTTTGAATTTGTTGTGGCGTTTGCATTAAAATAGAGACCCACGGTCATTTCCGTTGTGGCTTTTTGTTGTGTTATCATATTTGTATTTGTTGCGGCGTTTGCGTTTGTTATGACATCTCTCGGCTTCCTTAAATAACACCTCCGTGGAGACATGCAGATGGCGAACACTCCACTGGAAAAGTTACACAATGCACCTTTATAACTAAACTTAACTTAATTACCTCAGTACAAAAGCACTCTCTTGCCTCAGTGCTGCCATAGTCCTGTCACGATAACAGACTTTAAAGTACAATATATTGCTGAGTAGAGGGAAAGAGGAGCTCAGTCTCCAGTAGGCCCCTACAGCTCTGCTCAAACAGTGAGAGATACAGGACTACATTCATATCATACTCCATACATCTGTACAACAACTGACTCTTATATAACAGATAATACTCCCTACAACTGTATTACAACTCACCCTTACATAATAGATAACCCTATGTCCTCTTAATCATTATATATCTTTGCACTGTTTCTCTTACCACCTCTTCTAGCTGAGATATATTTGTATTTGACATTTCTGTATTTAATTTTTACTTGTACAGATACATTTGTATAATTATGCCTTATTGAAATCAGTCTCTTGCTATTTCTGCTACTTATTTATCATTTATTATTACCATTTATATTTTTGAAGTTATTTATTCAACCCTTTAAAGTCTTATTGTAGAACAGAAAAATAACAAAAAGTTCCCACCTTTACCATGAAAAGCTACCCCCGATAAATATTGACCTGATCCCCCAAAATATCGTTCCATCTATCATATACTGAAGTCAGCGTAGTATTTATCATGACAGGCCTATTTCCAACCACAGCAGCAGAACCACCAGCCACATCAGCCTCTCCATTCTTCTGCCACAGAAGACAGTTGAAACTAACAGTTTTACACACACAGATGCAGCAAATTGGGGATAGAAGAGTAAAATGCTCGCTGTGGTGCTGCTGCTGCTTTAGGCTTGTTATATCTGCACAAAAATGATGAATGTGTTTTATATTTTGCTCTGTTGCATTGCCAGACAAAAATGAGATCCTAAATATGAATGCTGCAAGGAAATCTGTCTAAACAACACCACATAACCAGAGGAAGCCCTGTTTGTGAATTTGTAAGTGACACAGACAGAATAAACTTAATTCATTTTTAGTATTGACTGTAATAACAAAAGAGGAGTCTTCAGTTCAACTATAAGAACTATCTACAAATATTGGGCCTTCAAAATGCAAATCTGTAAATAAAGCACACTTTAAACAAGGACTAAACCAGGTCAAATATAATTTTAAAGTAAAATTCTTCTCTATTCTTCTCTAGTTCATGAAGTGTTGATAAAATGAGTCCCATAACTTGGAATATTCCACATTACATTTTTTCATAACATGACAAGAACAACAAAAAAAGGCTTGAACAAAGTCAGTGCTAAACTAAGAGCTCGGAGTACATTTGCAAACTAAGCCAGAAGTTAAACAACCAGATCTTGAAATACATTTAAGACAACTTTGAAAACAGTTTGTTAAATATGCTATAAAAATAAGAATACAGATTTCATTTTGGTTTTCATTTTAAGATTATGTAAACCAGTAAATCATTATTTCATTGTAAAATTGCTCCAAATTAAAGTATAATAATAAGTTCTGTTTAGCTATGCATACGTCTGAAAGGTCTTCTCTTTTAATGTTAATTTTATGATGGTTATGTTTTGATTTGTTTGTATTGTGATTTTAATGTCTCTTGTTTTGTAAAACATTTTGAAAGACTTGTTGAAGTGTGCCTTGCCTAAATTGCAATCAGATACAGTAAAAACAATGTATTTAGTGTATGAATGTGTGTTCTTCTGGAGTTCATATCTATCCAACTTAAACCTTACTGGCCTTGCAGTGTCTGTATTGCATTCTCATACATGCGGTACTGTTCACATTTTTGCTTTTGCTGTTGCATACGATTACACTTCACACTGTGCACCTTAAACTGGCAGCGACTGACAGTGGTGAATGTCAAGTTGTAGCTCTGTGCCAAAAGCAGTTGGACAATAGTCAACTACATGAATTCTCAACCTGAGCTTAGTCAGTTCCTGTAGCTGAGGGAATCTGGATGAGACATAAAATGACATGTTGTATCTAAGTGCATGTTCCAGTTGATTTTATTAACATGTCAGAGGAGGAATTTCAGCATAATTCATAGTAAAAAAGCATAGACTGTATATATAAATGGACATATGGACATGAATCATGGAGGTGCTTCCAGCTCCACTGATTTGTCTTCACACTGAAAAAGTGTCACCCCTCGCTCTGTAACTGCTCTTTCTGTGTATTAACCCGCTCACTGTACATGATCCTGGTGTTTTTATTTTGCTATTTTGTCCATAAATAAATTTGTGTAATTGTGAGCTTCATTTGATTGGAGCTGAATGCCATGGGTCACATTCCCTTAGTCCATGTCTTTATACAGCAATGTGTTTTCTAATTTTGACACATTAAAATATGGTCAGTCTATACACTAAAAGGTGAGATCAAACAATCAGATAGTACTGTTTGACCATCTAATTGGATTTTATGATGCGTTGCAGGTGTCCTTGGAAGTCGGAATATGATCTACTAATTCCTACTTGAAAAGTCGGGGAACATTTCTGAACTGGTTAGTAAATCCAACGTCATTGCACCCTACGCTTTATGAAAATTAAATCCCCAAGATAATATATTTATAGTCTTGTGTTACTTATTTTCCCTTTAGTTCCCCACTACTGTCCACCCGCTGTCAGCCATTAAGCCTCTGCAGTTGTAAATGCGCAGTTATGATCTGTTATGCAAATGTTAATGTTGCTATAATGTGTACACTGAGCATGTTTCACTCCCATCCAGATGATTCCCTGGAAACCGTATGATACTGAATCCTCAAATGGTTTAAAAAACACTCTGATTAAAATAAAATAAATAAGAAAATCTTGTTTTAAATATGAATATTTATTTGAAAAATCAATACTTTGATACAGAAATAGTCATCTAGTATATGTATTAGACAATCAGTACTTCAGCCATGCTGTCTCTGATTAATCACAATAATAAAAAACAAACTAGATAATATATTTGTTATAATTTAACTTTTGCAAAAGAAAGAATGCACTAGAAAGCAATTTAAAAACACTGACACAAAATATATCACGGTTACTTTCTTAAACAATTTCTGAAGAAGGCATCGCACAAATCCAAGAAAATCAGTGAAAGATTTAAGGCAATTTTACAATTTCATATAGATTTTATATTTCAAAACACTCAGTTTTAAACAAAAGGAACTGGTGCATCCTTTGTAAAACTGTACATGCAAACATAGTGCACGTTGTTCAGAAGATATAACAAGCAACAATATAGTATTTGGATAGTTTTAGTAAACAAAGATTCATGTGTATACTTCACTCACTGTACAAAATCAAACCATTCATTCATAGACTCCGACATATATACTGTATTTATAAAGGCATTCACCCATTCACTAACATATAGGCTCTATTCTGGGCATTGGCAAGGTTTTCCAGACTGATTTCACTGAATAATAAACAATATTGGCAGCAATGGCTATAGTATAGAAACACAAAAATCTAATATAATGTTGCTATAAATTCATTGTCTTTAGTTTCTGGGTGATTTAACACAGTAGTAAATGTTTGTTTGCTTATTCAAATCCTTAAATAGTTAAAGGTGCACTGTGTAACTTTTCTTGTGGAGGGTCCGCCACATGCTTGTTTCCATGGAAATATTGCTGTTCTGCCTTCAGTATGGAAATAAACTTGGTAATCACAATGGAGACAGATTAATGGTCAGAACTATGGAGAAGCAAGTAAGAATTCATGTTTTGTTGTTTTTTTTTAGATATTTTTTGAGCTATGAGCGGCGGACCGATCAAGCGGCAAGTGAAGAAGAAGAACTACAATGTGAAAAGTAAAGGAATGGAGAAGTTTGTGTTGTGGCGCTTGTGTTGTGGCGTTTGTATTTGTTGCAGCGTTTGCATTAAAATAGAGTCCCGCAGTCATTTCCGTTGTGGCTTTTTTTGGTTTGTTGTGGCTTTTTGTTGTGTTGTCGCATTTGTATTTGCTGCGGCGTTTGCGTTTGTTGTGACCCCTCTCGGCTTCCGTAAACACCTGTTCAAGGGAGATATGTTTAATGTCCTCCTGTGGAACATTCCAGGCAAAAAATAACATCTCCATGGAGACAAGAAAACAGCAGACCCTCCATCTTTCCAAGTTACATAGAGTACCTTTAAAGGTTCATTTTTGGTTTGTATTGTTTCAAGAAAACACAATTTCAACATGATCAGTATCTGCACAAGCACATTCAGTTTGTAACATTTTGAATATTTGAACTTTTTATATTATATCTGGTTTTCAATAAGTGTTCAAATACAACAAATTTACAGTTACTTGCAAATGACTTTTGACACTAAATATTATATATACTTTACAGGGCAGTAGACGTTTCCATACTGTGCTCTGAAAATGTTAAAATGGGATCTGATCATCACTACATAACCAGGAGGTAGATTAGCTTTAGAAATCAGTTTGCAGTTTGTCTGGCTGTAAGTAAAGCCAGTTGTGTTTGCAAAATGTCAAAGCATGCCTGCTGTGTACGTTAAAGCCAGAGGGAATGAAACGTTTTCGATTGTCACCAAGAACTGTTACCATCTGCTCCTCTTTCCCCAATCACCAAAGCTACATAAGTATCACCCCCTGCTGTCTCAGATGTCTTACAGTTTAGAGAGATGCACTGTAATGAGGTGACTTATTCGACCCATCGTCCTAATGATGTACCCAGCGCTGAACCCAAACTGCGCTGGTAACTTGAGGCTAACTGTAACTACGCAACAACTCAAGCCTCAACACACTGTTGCTGTACTGCTACACTGTACTACTGCGGCAACACAACAGGGGAGGAGAAAACAAAGAAATCTAAATTGTGATGGTAATATTATGATACACACAGTTGATGTAAGTAACTCTAAAGTCTGTGTTCACATTGTGCAACTGTTTATTTTGATAAACATTTGCCATATTTGTTGTCTTTTACTATTAAACTAAAAAGGCCTTTCTGAAACACATTACTAACACAGCTGTATAAAACAATATTCGGTGTCACTTTATAAAAAACTGCAGCTTAATGAGCCTTAATAAAGTATGAGCAAAGAGTTCATTCAGATCAGATTGTTTGGATGACCTGTGGCATATCTCATAATATTAAAAAAGATTATTTCTCTTGTTTACTGGTTTATTCTTGGTTTAGACCTGGTTTCATTTTGGGTCAGTTTTGGTTTAGTCCTGTTTTACATCGCAAAAACTAAAATCTAGTCAAGTTAAGATTGCTTGAAATAAGTAAGTTTTAACATGATCTGAGTAAATTTCACTTGAAAATGATCTACCAATGGAACAAGACATTTGTACTTAAAATATGAAAATACATCTTGCTAAACCAAAGATAAACTCTTTGGTTAAAATAAGAAACAAAATCTAATGATGCTTGAATTAAGGAAAACACACTTATTCCATTGGTAGATCTTGTCAAGTTGAATCTACTCAAATAAAGTAAAATGTTCTTAATTTAAGTCATTAAGTGACATGGCTTTTTGCAGTGTAGACCTGGTTGGTGCTGGTCTAGTCTGTACTTGTTTGGCAATTTGGCAGAGCAATGTTGGTAAAGCCTTTATAATTCCTTTTTTTTTTAAACAATAATAAAATATTATCATTATTGAAACAGATCTAGATATTTTGTACAACTGCAAATTGTGATAAATGAGCAGTGTGTCATGCCCTTAACCGTCTCTCTCCCAAAAATCTGGTCCTCTCCTCAAGAAACTGAAGTTAAATATTTATAGTGTATATTAGTGTATTAATTATTAGTTACTAAGTCTGAGTCTACATAAACTATTTTTGTAAATTTTTTGTTCATACTTTATTAAGGTTAATTAAAGTGTAGTTACCCGATATTGGCTTGTTACATCAACTATAGCCCCGATGTAACTGATAACATTTATGATTGAAGTACAGTTTGTTTGTAATGGCCTTTTTGGATTAATTTCTATTGTCTATTTGCTAAACCATAACATAATATTCAACATAATTTCTCATAATGTTCTAATAGGTTCATACATACAACATATAAACCTCACTCATATTCCACTCAGTCATTTTAACATTTCAATCCACAGACATTTCTTCACATTCTTTACAAAATCTGCAAATTCTTCACATATTTTAGAACAAATAAAAATTAAGACTTAAACTTCATATCACCTCTTTACAGATGATTGGCACGTACAAATATGCACACTTAAAACAAACATATAAAAAGCTATATAAAAGCTAAAGGTGCGATTAAAACAGACACAAGAAAATTAAACTGACGAAGCAAACTTAGGGAAAATATGTTTTCTCTGCATTTTTGACCACTGGGCTCTTTTTGCTCAAACTGTATTTAGTTTGAGAGCAGCTGCTGTTACATTTCAACATGGGCAGGGATGTAGATTTGGACACACAGTGAGACAGCGCCCCCTGGAGCTGGGGGCATCATATTGCCAAGACAGTTTAGAAGAGAGAAAGACAGAGACATACAGCAGCTGTGTTTCCATTCAATTTAAACTGACTAGATGACTAGATGCGGCTGAATGTATTATAATAAAAAGGAAAAGGGTGTCTCTCAGGGATCAGGTTGAGAACTTCACATCTTTGTTCTTACACTGACCATATGTATTTTATTTTGTTTTAAAATATAGTTAAAAAAAAATACAACTGATGGGCCATTATGGGTTGAGTGTAGAATCAAATGTGATATAATTTAACTATTTTTTTTAATAAATTGTAGATAAATGCACATGTACTACAATTCTATACCTGAACATTAACATTAATGGTAAAATATTTTCTATTCAAAGTGATTGTAATTGCTACAAAAGACCTTCAATAGACACAACCTTCAAAAAGATTGCTGAATAAATAACTAAAATAACTTCTCACCCAAAAATTAAATTGCATGGAAACACTGCTCTGTACTGGACAAAGTAAAGAAGGAAAGAGCCATTTAGACAGTAGGAAAATAGTATTTATGACATTTGACATGATGATGTCGACAAACAGACTCCCAGTCCCTCTCAGCGCTCTCACACACACACACACACACACACACACACACACACACACACACACACATTCGAACGATGGGAGAAGAGGTAGTGCAGGGCCACTATATGCATGCACTGAGCTACACTCATGCAAAAGTCTGAATACAAACACCAGGTTACAGTACGGTACGGTACAGCACGGTACGGTACAGAGGAGCTACCAGGACCTGCACTGCTGCTACCTGACGCACATGCCAGGGATAGAAAGAGATAGAAAGAAGGAAAGGTGTGGAGAGTATTACAAGATCATTGAAATTGTGTATAAAAGGTATCAGTAAAAATCCTTGTTAGAGTTTACTGTAAACATGTGTGAGTTGGAGAGATAGAGAGATAGGGAAAGAGAGAGAAAAGTTATTTACAAAAAGTTTGATCAAGTTATTCCTTCATGGTCTGGAGACATTCAATTTACAGCGTTAGAGAAAATACCTCTTCACCCAAATATCCTACAACCTTCTCCCTGATCATAAGATGGTGTCAACGATTCCTAACTTTTCCAGATCCATTTATATGTCCCAAGAGAACATTAAATCCCAGACACAAACAGGAATGCTTGACACTTGGAAGTAAACAGACTCCGATTGGCTTCTCCGTTCCTCAAAAGTGCGACTACCTCACACTTCCTCCTCAACACGAGAAACACCACTGGTATCCACGACGACGAGAGCTGGCCGCAAGGAAATGGAAGTATTTCTGGTTAAAAGTCATTGTTGGCACACATACACAGCGCCCCCTTCTGGTTGCTTAGTGCTCAGATCTGGGTTTGGAGCGGTTGGGCCGGTGGAGTGTAAGGGGGCGGGGCCGGCGAGGGTTTGATCCCGCGGGTTCTCATGTAGGACAAGAACTGGTCTGGGATTTCGGCCAAGACATCTTTGGCCAGCCGTGCCATGCTGAGGATATGGTTCCCTGTCCGGTCAATGTAGTCTCTGAATGGGACAAACTGAAACAGAGAGGTATATGGTTAGATTTAAGTAATACTATTCATATTTGACATTATTTAAATGTGCTTTTGCCTACAATGTTCCAAAGTATGGCATTTCTAGACTACTGTCTCCATGGAGACAAGCAGGTGCTGGACTCTCCACCAGAAGAGTTACATAACATACCTTTAAAATAATAGGTTAGGAGAATTATAAAATCCCACTTTTTCCAAAAACATAAGCTCACAGAAATGTTGAATATTTAAAAGCGTCTGCATGCTTTTGTGCTCTCCAACATCAATAATTACAGCAGGAGACTGTTCAAGTGTTTGTTTTACACACACAAAAGCCCAGGGACCTACTTAACTGTCACAGTTTGCTGCTCGCTGGGCCATTTGTGACCTAGTTAAGTGCATTATATTCATAAACAACACCATGCAATTTGGGGTGAATTTCTTTAAAAAACAGCACACTTTGAGATTAGAATATATGCCATTTTCAAACTTTATGAGATTTTTCTTTCTTTTTTTTTTAACTACTGGTTTATGTTATAACAAAAATACCACATGTACAGACGTTGAAAGCTGTTGTAGTGCTCGGGGGGCATCGCTTTTAGAAGAAGACTCTGCTCAGTTTAAAGAGGGGGTATTCAACTTTTTAGAGCTTTCTGTCCTGTTATAATGCAGCTCCCTTGCAGTCTCTCCTAGGCACTACTGGAACCCTCCTTATAGTTAGCAGTAAGATTCTGTCCAATGCTGAGCCAACAAGCCAATGACCATTTTCCAGAAATATATGACTTCATAAAATGGACTAAGACTTGGGACTCGACTTGGACTTGAAGGTCAGTGACTTGGGACTTGACTCCGACTTGAGGCCTGTGTCTTGAGAAGACTTGAGAAACACTTTTAAATCTGAATTCTTTCTATTCTGACCATAATGATTCACACTAAGATCTTGTCAAGACATTAAAAAATGAAAAATTAACTGAATTAATTTCTACAACTATTATATACTATAAATACGCATATATAAATATACTATGCCTTTTTTTAAAGTACAATTTATCTTAAAAGTCAAAGGCAAAGGCACAAATTTTAAAAATCTAAAATATTAGGTATTTTGGTTTAAAGACTTGAAATGACTTGAAGCTCAAAGCAGACGACTTGGAATTCACTTGGACTTGACTTGGACTTATGGGCCAGTGACTCGAAGCTCGACTTGGACTTGCCTGTATTTGACTTGGGACTTGACTCGGACTTGAGGTCAAAAACTTGAGACTTACTTGAGACTTGCAAAACAAAGACTTGGTCCCACCTCTGTATTAGAGCAACGGTTTTCTTTAAATTCTAGCTTTGTTTTCCCATGGAGTCAGTGAATAATTGTTATACTTATTTCCTTGACATTTTTAGTCTAGTTTAGAAGCAACATCACAAGAAGGGTTAATGGTTAGTGGCTTTTTTGAATTGCGAACTGCAGAGTGTGTATTTTTGCATCAGGAATAACATCTGACACAAGCTGCTAATTTTGTATTTACATGTTCTCTATAGGAGTCCCTCCCACTGCAGAAGAGTGTGTACCTCTCACCTCCATTTCCACACAAATAATCCACACGTGTCACTTCCCTTGTACACATAACGAGCTTGGGTTTCATTGTATTAATGAGTTGTCGCCTAATCACTGTATCACATAATATAACTAGGGCCAATTTGTGCAGAAAACCCTCGCTGCCATCCACTCTGCTCTTTGTGTCACTGCGAGTTATTAGCTGCCTAGTAATGAGAGGCTGTAGGCAGAGCTGTTATAATGTTCTGAAAGTTACATAGGGTCTCCTGTTCTGCATGGAACTAATATGTGTATGTCTATGAGTGTGTACGTTTGTGTGTGTATGTATGAGACATGTACTTGAGCTTGTTAAAAAGGCAGCTAACGAGGGCCGCTGCTGCTGCTCCCACGTGAAACCAGGGAAAGGGCTCGAGCCAGAGATGTGACAGTCGAGGAAAAAGGTTAAAAAGTGGGAAAAAATTCCATTTTAACAGTTTCTGCATGTTTGTGTTGATAACGACAGGATACAGCACCCGCCAATCTGCTGCCACACAAAAAAGACAAAATATAAAGCGGTTTGTACGGCAAGTGGCAGGGTGTAACATCTGTGACATATTTAGAATATTCTTTCGTTAGAATACTCTTACATTACTAAAATATAAAAAAACAAAATATCTAAGCTGCTAACAGGCCTAATTATGGATCATATCTGTGGAAAGGTGACCCCACTCATAGTAAGAATGCATGATTTTCAGTGTATTTATTTATCTTTTAGTCACGTTTAGGCAAATACTACAAAGAAAAAACAAAATGACAGAATGAAGCATGTCTAGGGCAAACATGATTGCTATATCATTCTGCCCTGGCCACCTTTGCCTCTAAATGCTACTAAAGTGCATCCGGATAAGTGGGAATCCCATTCATTTCAATGGAGAATTTGAAAAGGTTTTGCCAATAAAATATTATATAAAGTAGGTTGATTTGTGTAAATGTTCAGTGTTCACGTATACCAACAAGTCAACAATGAATAGATCCTGTGGGAGGCTTTAAAACGGCTTTATAGTTTGAATAGAACTCATTTGCTTTCAAGATCAGGAGCCTCATACAAAATAACACAACTGGAATGACGATGACGGTGCCCATGGCTACTTCCAGAATAAAGCCTGCTTCAGCCTTCTCCTTTTGAGCTCTGCCTGTATTACACTGTTTTCTGATTTATGTTATAATGCTGTTTCCTCATCAAAAACACACCTGGAGTCAGAGTCAGAGTTCTGCACCTGGTCTGAAACGGGCGGGTTTTAACGTTCTGGAATTTTATGAGCGGGTATGCGGGCAAGTAGTGATTACACATGGGCGGGTCAGGAGAATCAAATGAACGATGAACAGGAGAAAAATTCTTGATGCACGTCCAAGGCCTCTGTTGCCTTAGAAACAAGTGCCATTTCCAAGTCTTTTCCTGAAATGATGGACTAGGCTGAGAGAGTGACTTTAGTGTATTTATTACATGAAACCAATCAGCGGAGGAGATCAGCTCGCCGGCTGCGCTCCTGGTTTAGTCTTGGTTTAGACCTGGTTTAGACTTGCTTTAGTCCTAGTTTAGTCCTGGTTAAGTCCTGGCTCAGTGTTGGTGTAGTCCTGGTCCAGTCTAATGACACTGGTTCAGTCTTGGTTTAGTCCTGGTTTAGACCTTGTTGGGTCCTGTTACAGTCCTGTTGTAGTCCTGATGATCAGCTCTTCGGTTTGTGGCGTGTAAATACTTATAATCCTCTATTACCACGGTGTAGGTTCACTTCTGGTTTAGTCCTGGACTGTTGGGCTGTCGGACTAATGGGCAGACCCCGACTTATCACGGGCATGGGCAGGTAACGGGTGGAATGTTAACGGGTCTGGGTGGGTGCAGATTTAACTTTGATATAATCACAGGTTAGGTGCAGGTGGGTGTGAGTGGGTGCAGGACTTCAGAAATGGACCAGTGCAGGTCTCTGCCTGGAGTTGTGTTTTGTTTCATTCACACATGTTTAACACACAAACCCTGCATATTTACTTCTTCTCTCAAACAGAAAACACTGTGTTCCACCTTGTGATGCCATGTGGTGATAGAGGAGTGCTCCACTGTGTTTTTAAACTCCATACACCATCACTAGACTCATTTGAAGTGACAATCTCTTCTGAGAAAAAGGTAAAAGGTGCTGTTACGTATCACTTCAGGACATCACAAGGTGGAACAGAGCATTTTGAGCTCTGGAGATGTAGACAGACTATTAACAAAAGATTATCCAAACATGTGTGAATGAAACAAAAAAACAACTCTAGGGATGTTTTCGATGAGGTAACAGCATTCTAACATGACTTAAAGCTCACAAGAGTCAATTTTGTGTAAATAGGATCTTAAACCAAACTAATTATCTCATTGCAAGATTTCTTTCTTCTTGCAGCTGCTGTCTCCTGTACGGCTCCCCCATAGTGCACTGTTCTTTCTGCTTGAATGTGACTTTTCTCAGACCTCCTGCAATCCTTTACACTTCTAAAGCAGCTCTGGAGTCAGCGGGTCAGGGCTGCATCTCGTCCATTGTATTAAGGTAAAGGACACAGTACATTTGTCATTTGTATGGGTGTGTGTGGGCGCCTGTCTGCCTGTCCAGCTGCTCCACTCTGAACCACAGGGCTGAGGTGAGAGGTACCAGTCCATGCACAGGCTCAGGTGGTGGACAGTGACTCACCATGGCAACAGGAGACACTTTTGGTAAATAACAACAAAAGTCAGAGTACAAAGTGACGAACATTCAGACTAAAGCTGTTGAAACTTTACCTTCGGGGGTGAAGCTAACTGTAGACACTGCTCGGTTAGAAGCTCTGTTACTTTATTCTAGTGCTATGTGACTAGAAAGAGCTGATTTGGTTGGAACTACAACAGGTGAGATGATTTGTGCTGTTAAACAAGTCTCCCACATATAAATTTACAGTCATAAGGTAGCGAATATTAGCCAACAGTTTTTCAGTTAGTCACTCTCACCTTTTTGTTGAAAATTAAACACCTACACAGGACCATGAATGCTCTTGTTGATCACAGCTCCTGAAAATGTGCTGTTTAAATCCATTTTGTATTTTTTTTAAGTTTCCGGCCTTTTTTTTTGTTAGCCAGGCTGGCGTCATCTAGTGCTTCCGCTCAATTTCTCTCCAGCGACTAGGTCATGAATCGGAATATACAAGATGGTTTGCAAGAACCCCGGAAGTGCGAGTCCGGGCAATAGCCAATCAGCAAAGAGTCATACATTCTGTGTTGGCAACAATTCCCAAGATCAAGGATTTATAGCCCGAAAAGAAAGAGAATGTTTGGTGAATTTATCAAGGGGACAAGTTTATTGCCCTTCTTCCTACAGGATTTGGGAAAAGCTTAATATACCAGTTAGCTCCATTAGCGGCGCATTACATACGTCACGATCAAATAGCAGCGATTGGTTAAATTAAAAAACGTACAAATGAATTCTAACTCTGCGAGGTCAGATGGTTTCCACAAAGTGAAAACGGCTGATGAATCAGGCTATTTTTTTGTAGTGAATCAAAGAAGTTCTTGGTTGACTACTGACATGTTCTGCCGGTCAATTGATTAGTCAATTGAAAATGGAGTGTGGCAAAAGCTCTTGATGCAGTTGCTTTTTCTATGTATCTAAGTCAATCTGCACTCACATGACTACAAACAGGAGGTCATGCAAAAATAACTATTCATGTATCTGCTTTTCTACATGTAAATAATACAAAAACACACCACATTTTTAGCTCACTCACTAGCTTCTCCTTTCTGCTGCTGAACCTTACAATATTAAAAGTCGATTAATACAAATTTTGGTCCACTTAAACACCATCAACCGATTAATCAACTAAACAGTTAAAGGTCTACACCCTAAAAACCTACCGATTAATATTGCATGTTTGGGTACCACTTTATAATATTACACCTTCTTTAGCCTTAAAAGCAAGAATTAGTAACTGGATTTAAAAACTCCTCAGTTAATACCTTAACCTTAAGTCCTAACCCTTAATTACATTTATGACTAATTATTTATTTTTTGTCCAATGTGTACAATCTTAAAAAAATTTATTCTATTTAAAACTAATTAGCAAGGTAAAAAGTATGTGTTCTCATCTCGTCTGGTAAACAGTTTATTTAATTAGTGGCAAATGTCACCTCCAGTTGCACAGTTCGAAAGGTAAATTCTCTACTGTTTGTGAAAGGCTAACAGTTAATCTTTTATACTTATATGAAACCGCAAAGCCTTTGTAGCTCTGATATTTCTTTTTATAGAAATAGCTAATTGTTTCTTATATTTTATTATGAAAAAAAGAAAAAAAAAAAAAAAGATACACACCTGAACAATGTCTCTCTCTGCATATCTGCCTCTGGAGGAGATCCGGATTTCGTCACCGTCCAACTCCACCATCGCTAAGGACAAACACCCAACACTGTTACACAATGTTACACAGCAAAAATGGAAATATTACTTGAATTCTGAATAAATACAGTGATTTGAGTTTTGACTATTTCCGATTTATTGATTTCCTTTACTTAGATTATTTAAATAATTTATAAAATTTGACAAAACAACAGTGAAGTTAGTAAAGTGCACCAACACATAAATAATATATGTAAATAATCTTAAAAATGTTTAGATACTTGTCCTTTACCTCACAGAACTACAAGAGGTGCACTATGTAACTATATAACTGCTTGTCTCCATGGAGATGTTATTGCTTTTCCTAGAATGTGCAGTAGTATGGCGTTAAACTTGTCTATCTCAATGGAGACAAATAAATGACCAAGGCTGACACTGAATCAGCACGAGACAGATCAACTTTATGCCATATTGCGTAACATTTCAAGCAAAACAAGTAATTCCAGTGAGACAAACAGGTGACATACCCGTCACTAGAAAAGTTACCTAGTGCACCTTTAAATAAACATTTCTGATTTAAAATCATTGGACATTTAGCATGCTCAAGTTCTTCCTTACCATCAAACTCAGCTGGCCCCACTCCCACGATGATGATGGACATGGGCAGACAGGAAGCCTGGAGCCAAAAGAGGACATCTTTGTTATTTGGTTCACATCCAAAAGTTATTATCACAAGGCTCAACACGTGACAAGCGTATACCCCCTCAGCCTTTATACTCTGCGTATACACAGTATGTAAATGTGAAAAGCCTGTGTGTTAGCAGCATGTGTGTCTGCTTTGAAGCCTCGCTCGTATGGCACCTCCCGGAGCGCTGCGTGGGTCCAGACATCACACTGTATGATATTATAGGGACCAACGGGCTGACAGCTTACAAATGACATGTGCTATACAACGGTGTGTGTTGGAAATTATTGCCGTGTGTGTTTGTGTGTTTGTGTGTGTGTCTAGTATGTGTGCACGTGTGTGTGCGTGTGTCTACTATGTGAGTAATGCTGTGACCCAAGGCATCGGGGGACAGATGATTTGATCCAAAACATTTATTTTGGCGATCCCTTTAGGACGAGGTCTTCTTCCTGCTTCTGTCACACTGTGTTTATCCACTCACACATCTCTGCTTTCCCACTGGATTGGTTTTAAAATGTTTTTCTTTACTTCAAAAATCATATATCTAGAGAAAAGAGGCTGTTGTTTGTGGTTCATTCTTTGACATCTGGGTTGCTTTTCCTATATAGTGTGTTTTGACGTGACATTGATGAAGAGTGTGCTGAGGGTATAGAACAGGCTGTCAAAAGTCAAGGAGCTGCAACTCCGAATAAAAAATAACCCAAGACAAGTTAAGGTTCAGTTATCAAGGTTAGGATTAATAGTTAATAGTCTATGCAACAAGTGGTTCATAAAGAGGTGTACATTCATTATGTACATTCATTATTTGTAAATGTGCCTTTAATGACATGTGACTTGTGCATCGTGTATTATAAATAATTTTAAAAAGGGGGGCTAAAAAATAATTCCCAATCCAGTCAAAAAGTGAAAAAAAGGAACTAGACTAAACTTTGATTCTGCAGAAATTCTCTCTGTTTTTTGTTGTGTTTTTTAGGTGTAGCAGCCCTTTTGTTTTGACAGGAAATGACCATGTCTTTCTCCAGTTAATCTGCCTGTCAATCACACCCTTCAGGGGTCATGGGGGCGGGATACGGTCAGTCACACACTTTAAGTCATTATTCTGAGGTTGCAATGTTTTTTCTTCAACAAAACAAGTAAATTCCTATTGTTTACTTGGAGTACTTTGAGGATTAACCATCAACTATCAAACTTGACTAGTTTGATGGTTGAATTTAGACATCAGTTTAGTCTTTTAACAAGAATAAAGAGCACATATCTATTGTAATAACTTTGTTTGGGGAAAAATATATATTTTATTATGTTTTGAAAAGAAAGGAAGGCTCTTTAAAAATACGTACTTATTAATAATGAGGTGTGCATTTCGCGACCAGTAATTTCTGACTTAAAGTTAGATGAGAAAAAAGTGCTTTCACAGCTATGGAACTTCTCGCTTTCATTTCATTGAATACATTCAAAGGTTGATTGTGTAATTTCCCATCTAAATTCATGTTAAAATGACTGAGTTTAGTCTGGGGGACTGGAGGCAGGTCAGGCTCCAGCAGTTTTTATGATTAAACCAGTGGGAGCAAATACAGGAGAAAATTGCATTGTGTCACTTAACTCACATTTAACTTAAAGTATATGTAAGGTTTATACCAGCAGGTAGTTTGTAAAAGGTTAGGGTTATTATTATATAACCAGCGAAATATGTGCTTCAGATTGTATAATTCATTATAATCAGATTGTATAATTAAGCGCTCATCAAGTGGCTGTCATTATTAATGTTCCATGTGCATAATTTCCTTAAGAGTGAGCACTTCTTTAATATTAGTAAATGGTTTTAAATGGGACCACATAAGAAAGAATTCCTTACATTGACAAGGGACTCCTTGGTTTGGGCCATGTCTGAGATGACTCCGTCTGTGATGATGAGCAGAACAAAGTACTGAGAGCCGTCCTTCACTGAGGCTGCATATCTACAAAACACACAAGAAGGAAGAGGAGGGGCTTAAGAACATGTGCACACAAACAGAAGTCAAACCCCACACAGTCAGATGCATGTGACAAGATGTTTCATTGATTAAATAATTTCATGTAATATATTTTTCGTATGTCTGTCCAGTCATCAATTTCCCCATAACACTTGACTACATTTGATAGGGGCAATAATGAGATACATAAAGAACTTCAAGATCCCTTTTAACCATGTTATACAATAGTTGTTTGCCCTTCTCATTTACCCTCTCCAAGCTGTATTGTTCTTTAATCTTTAATTGCTTATTTTCAAGATGCCATATTGCTGATCAACCCTGATTTTCACTGCCACCGACATATACCCACTGCTCTGTACTTCTTATTCTGTATGTTTTATTTTTTTAACCAGTGATACGCATGGGATTCTGCAACATTGTTGTATAACTGCTTCTTGTTAGCGTTATCTCCAGTTATCCATTGAAGGTGCCGACTTGTTGTCGTGATGACATTTATGCCGAAAGGAGTTTCCTAACGTGGAAGTCAACTGACTTGTTTCATTTATTAGGTTGTTTTAGATGAATATTGCAATTTAAAATGTGCAAATGTCATCTTTAACTGTTTTTGAAAAGTGCACTTAATGTGGCACATGCTGATATTGCTATTACATTGTTATGTAATATGACATGTGTCTTTTTGAGATAGTCTTCACTGCACAAACTACTCCTCTCTTCTCTTTTCTCATGGTCTCGAGTCGCCCTGGTGTCAGACATGATTCGGTCTCAGCCCTTGACTTCCACACTACCTTATTACTTACGACTGCACATCCTTCGAAAATGTAATAGAAATGTCCATGGTGACAGAAAAGTAGGCCATTAGATCAGGCAAAAGCACCACAGACAACCTTATATGACTTTTTTATACATCAGTGTCAATCATCTAACCCATTAGGCTCATTCTCCTGTACATCTTTAACACACCAGTGATCATAAGGGCTCAAGGTATAGCTAGGATTTTACTTATGACCTTTTAAATCTATACACTCAAACCGAGCTGATATTTACACAATAAGATAATCTCCCTGATAATTGATGCTTGTTTGTGCTTAGGGTGGTATATACATCGTTGTAATGTATTTTTCAGCAGCCAATGATGGAAAACCTTTTAGATGATTTTCTTCTAAATAGGGCACAAAAGCATCCTGCACCTCCCTTCACCACATTTGCAATAAAGAGCGTCAGGGACTATTTGTACCTTCCATATTTTTACACCTGCTGGGTTCTGTAAATTGTTTTGAAGACTTTAAGTCATAAGATTACTATGGGAGGTTTTCTGAGCTAATCCCTAACAACATTTGTGAATTGTTTTAGCACATTTTTTAAAATTTGGTTTAGTTTGATCATTTGATTCAAACATGTATCTCAGGTGATCAAATCCTTTGGACCATTTCTCATCAGTTCACACAGTTCTCAGGCTCCTTCTCAGAACATTGGGTACAGCTCTCATTCACAAACACACGATCATTTAATTGGCCTGAGCCAGTAATGTAGTCACTGGTGAGGGCTATTGTTATTCGTGGTTTTCTTCCGCTCTTTTATAATTTTTCCTTGTAAACGATTGCGATTTTGAGGGCCTAAACATCAACGAAAAGTCTCCAAACTATCAACCAGTCCGGCGGAAAATTTGATAATATGGGCATCGCGACAATGTCCAAAGTGACCCGACTCAACAGTGCCCCCTGGAATTTGCATAAATGTAAAGTCTGTGGGCATATTTTGTCGGAAGCAAACGAAATTCAGGAAGGTGATAGAGAACAATGAGGCAAACCAAAAGATGAACTGGAGCATGCCTCTATGATGAACAGGGTGTCCACCATATTGGATAAAAAATTTACTGCCTTTTTGACTGTGTGTTTGCAAAAAAATTCAAGTCCCTGGTGTTTGGTTTAAATGAGCTCAGATTTGACATGTCACATCTACAGACAGATAAGTTTACAAAAATTATCAGGTGTTTTTGGGATTCTCCTTACAGTTTGCCCATAGCAGGCGGGCAAAAAACAGGTTCATTTCCTGTTTCTTTGATGAGCTCTCACGGCCACAGGCATTGGCCGAGAAAGCTCAAATTCAAATCACAATCATGTGATCCGGACCTGAATCCATTGAAATATAAAATCTAATGAAAGTGAACACTATAGCGCCCCCTACCATAGACATGAAACATAAACATTATTAGATTTGGACCAAATTCAGGGATAAAATTCTACGCATGATTACAAGCAAAAATATCTATTACGGCATAGGGCATTTTTCATGGTTGACCAGCAGGAGTGCAAAGACTTCCCCAAAAAATAATTTAAAAATGATTACATGCACAGGTTTAGTCCAATCATGCTGAAATCTGAGTCAGTAATGTGTCAGCCTCACATTTTATTGTGTCCGGTTATGTATTTTAGCGTGTGAGTGTGAGTGTGTGTGTGTGTGTGTGTGTGTGTGCATGTTTGTGTGTATGTGAGTGTGTGTTTGGGTTGTTTGACTATGTGGGGTTGGGGGTGCGGGGGTTGGGTTGGTGGTTGGGTGGTTGGAAATGCGGGACTGTTTTTAATCACTGTAAAGCACTTTGTGTTGCATTTTGTATGAAAAGTGCTTTATAAATAAAGTTTGATTTGATTTGATTTGATCTAAGCCTGATTATAATACATTATAAAGTATATGAAAAGTGAACACTATAGACAATTTAAATCTTTCATTATTTAAATCTTTAAAAAAATGGAAGATGATTGATCAGTGTTAAACGTAAAACTACATTTCATTGAGATAAAATATTTTGTAAAAATAAAATTCTGTTTAGGAATAGTGTGAGCTGTTTTGCCAATGTAAATTTTTGATAGAGAAATGTGTCAAAATGAAAAAAACAAAAAAAAACTGTAACATAGAAAGTAATCATTCAGCTTCCCATTATGTAAACCAGGTATTGTGTGCAGTATCAAGTCAAGTGATTGGGTGACAATGCACCTTTTTAAGGAAGAAAAATAATCTGTATATTTTTGTATCTTCTCTTCCCCAGACCTATGAATCCTTACGTGAGATTTGGACTTATGTGAACTCAGTGCTGCCGCTATAGGTGACAGATGAGTTGTATAAGAGTGAAGTGAGGGATAGAAGGAGGAGTGCGGTAAAGATAAGTGTAACAGAGAAGCTCTCAAATAAGGAGAGACAGAGCTGTACCAAAGAATGAGAAAACAGACCGAAGAAGATGGAGGTATAAAGTCTGGTACATGATGCAGAGTAGAGAGAGCATTTGGAAATTATTATTCCCCTTTGGATTAAGAGAAATGCAGAGGGCCTGGATCACTGATTAAAAAAAAAAAAAAAAAAAAAAAAGTAAAAGGCAATTCACGGGGTCATCGCATTGCCTTATACATTAATTTCCTGTAGATTGATTCAAATCTTTACGGTAGTCACTATCTGCCTATCAGACTCAGATCTTTGCAAAGTATTGGAGAAGTTTGTATTCTGGTCCAGGTCAAGTACAGGTCAGATCTGTGGAGAATCGGCCTCACTCACAGTACAAAAATTTTTTTTCTCTCACTAACCCTAATTTAGATAAGTTTTTGTACAATGTTTTGGTTGGTGGCTACTAAATGTTGTAAGGTCCAAAACAGTTTAAAGTAATTGAAACTATAAAACAAAATATTATATATATGCAACTTTCATGTTTCATGTTTCATGGGGAGATCCACAAGGACTTACATAATAGAATAACTTCAGGGAACACAAACAAAGTTGCTTTATTACCATGAAGACCCTCTAAGTAATTCTGAATATGATCTAAAACAATGTCTCCAAGTTCTAGTTTTGCAAGTTTTAATGAACTTTAATAAGGAATATGAGTTAATTATACAAGTACTTGCTGCTACTGCTGCTATCACTCTTACAAAGTTAATGAGGCTGAGTAAAACTTGTGTGAAATGTGTAGAGAAAAAGTAAAGTTTGTTTATTTTCAGTAAAATATTTAAGTGGTACAGCAGGAAAAATGTTAGCTACAAGACTTCTCCAACCAGAGTCAAACCCAAAACAAGACTAATGTAAAAAAGTTTGGTAAATGTTCTTCATTTACATTCCAGCTCATTTTCCAGTCCAAAAAACAACATAATTTCTTGTAGTTCGTGGTTCAGAGAAATCTGAGGAATCCCTGCTGAAATGGTGTGAAATAGTTAACAGTCACCCAAAGCAGTAGAAAAATGACATTAATTATAAAGCGGCATGTTGACGCTTATGTCCTCATTTTCCTCCTTCTGCCTCTTCAAGTGTAACTCTGCAATTAAAGTCTGCTAAATCTTCTCCCAAATATATGAGGAAAGCTAACGAGACTTCAGCTCAGTTTATCTTGTTAATTATAGCCTCACCTCAATAGCTTCAAATGTGCTTTTTGTTAATTTGTGGATTTTTGTCAGTGCAGCACAAATCAAACTGACACAACTAATGATGCAATCAGATTTCACTTTCACTGCTTGGGATCTATGTCTTTTCGTGTTAACTACCTGGCAACCCTGGATCTTATTACAAGAACAAGAAAGTCAAGAACACATGTTGAGAGCATCAGTCTAGGAATAAAATGTACTCATTATGTGAAAAGAGAAGGCTAAACATGTAACTGTGAAAAGAACAGCTATTCTTAATTAAACTTAGTGAACTTCACTGCAAACAATGTTGCATTATGGGAGACTATAAGAGAGTTTGTCTTAAATAAAATGGCCAAATTGAGTGTGTGTTTCTGCACATAGGCTTAGGGAGTGTGCAATTATTAATAGAATAAACGATTACAAAGGGCTTGCCTATAAAAAGTGACTTAAAGGTCCTGTTGGTGCATTACTCATGGTCATACTTGGACTCGTATATATTTTGTTCTATGGTGGTGTTTGTGTGGTGCTTTTGTTGTGTTGTCCTGTTTTTGATAAAGCATGTGACCCCCTGTCCCAAGACAAATTTCTCTCATGGGAGACAATAAAGGATTATCTTATCTTATCTTTTTCAAGGCATTTTTGAAATTTAGTTTATGAAGTTTAATATTGGAACACAGTGTGTCCAGAACCCTAGACATTTCCAATCAAAGCAATAACATCTCCATAAAGATGAGCAGGTAGTGCACCTTAGAACAGATATGAGCTTTGCCATAACTCAATATGATAATAAAAAAGAAAGTTTACCTATTTACTATAGCACATTTAATTTATTACTTCAGTTGTTTGTCATCCAGACTAACAGTCACATTCAATGCAAATCAAACTTTACCAGTAACAGAAAGTTTGCATAAAAAGCAGATATAGATTGTAGTTACCTGGCAACATGATTGATGACTGGAGAGAAGTTGGTTGGTCCATAGAGCTGTACTGACTTCAGGCTTTGGTAATAAGCCTCCATCACACCTTCTATCCCGGCACAGTAGGGGTTCTGAGGATTTCCGTTCTGTAAAAACAACATAAAGAGAAGAGTATTAACACCATAAAATTAACCTGACACATATTTCCTCTAATATTACTTCCACCAGACTTATTCACGTCAACTGAACTTTCACGCAAGACAAAGAGAGCTCACTTTGAACTTTTTAAAATTACATGCACAAAGTTACAGTTCAAAAATGCAGTAGTTGAAGTACCGGTAGTTAGATGAAGATAAAACACATAACATTTTATTAATGTAATTTTACAAAGTTCAAAGTGAGCTCCCTTTGTCTTGCGTGAAAGTTCAGTTGATGTGAAGTTAAGTCTGGTGGAAGTATGTAATGTGATGTTGAATTTGGCAAAAACTTTTGAGTCATTCTCAGTATTATCTAAATGTTTAAATAATTTTCATTTATCATTTTCATTTTTATATAACTTTTCCACTTTCCAGAGCATTCAAAGCACTTTAGACCGAGAAACCACTCACCCATTCATTCACACACGCACACACTCATACACCAGTGTACACCGACACTGGGGGCAAGGGGGTTAGGTATTTTGCCCATGGACACAATGACAGCATTCATCTCTGGGAGCTGGAATCGCACCGGCAAACAGTAAGTCTGTGGATCTGAGCAGGATTCAAACCGCCAGCCTTCAGATCAATGGATAAACTTACTTACACTTACATTGGTACATATTACTTACACTGGTACTACTATATTACTATACAATTTATGCATTAATACAGGGCTAGAACAGAGATTGAGTAAATAGGTTAGATAAAACAACTTTATATCACTTTTGTTTATATATTTAATAGTTCAAACAGAGACCACTGCTCCTTTGTCTATGGTCGCAACAAAGGTCTACATAACAATTTAGACTTTTAGAATATTGTGCATCATAAGTACTGCAAATCGTCAGTGGTACTTTTATGGCATTAGAGTTCACAGCGTAAACAGACATAGTAAGTGCTGTACTCTACACCTCGTAATATGATAATAGCCAACATAACCCTGTGAGAGTGAGCCATCCTGTTGACCCAGTCCATAATACTAATGCTTTTCAAATGGTGTTCAATGCTACTAGAAAGTGTTCATTCATTTTGCTCTCAGATGCACAAAAGACAGATCAGATATTTCATCTAATCTTCTGCATATTTCAACAATAATAATACGTTCACCAGATTTCACAGATGTCTGTCCTTAGTGCAAAGCAGTGACTGTTAATGAACCGCTCCACAGTCAAGATCACACATCTTCTCTTCCTCTCACTGCAAATTCCACATAGCTTTTGATTTAAAAGTCCTATATTATGCTAAATTGACTCTTGTGAGATTGAAGTCATGTTATAGTCTTGTTCCCTCATCAAAAACACATACCTCGAGTTGTGTTTTGTTTCCACCTGTTTGAGTAATCCTGCATTATTGGTCTGTGTACATCTCCAAAGCTCAAAATGCTCTGTTCCCCCTTGTGATGTCATGAAGCGGTAGTTTTCAAGTTGACAGCTGCCCTTTTACATTTTGTTTAGTAGGGTTTGGATATTCCAGGGCTGAAATCATTGAAATGATTCTAGTGAAGGTGCATGGAGTTTGGAAACACAGTGGAGAACTTCTTTTATTACCACATGACATCACAAGGTAGAACAGTTTGAGAGAAGAACAGGATTTGTGTGGTATACATGTGTGAATATATATGTGTACATACATGGATTTCAATTGTTTTGAGTAGAGGAGATTGCAAAGGTTAGTAAAATTGTCTAAACCATTCAGCAAATATTTTGTCTTGAAATAAAAAGTGTTGAAATCAGTTGGTCTAAATAGATGTCTCATCAAAACTTAATCTAATCCTGAATTCAAATTACATTAATGTGATTTTTTTTACCAGAGCAAATTCGTGGGACACTCGGCCGTCCGGGGGCAGCTTGGCCCCAAAGCCCAGTGCAGGGAACATTTTGTCGCTGTCATAGTCCTGTATGATCTCTCCAACCGCCTTCAGGGCCATAGCATAGGCATTCAGCTGGTACGGACTCATGTAATGCAGAGAAGTGGGCTGGGCGGGGTTACCTACAAAAACACAAAAGCAAAAATATTATAGACACAGATCAGCAGCAATGGATTTTAAATGTATTTTACTATGTATTTTTATGAACTTTTCACAGTTTTCTACATATACACTTCCTCTTGTGGTTATCCTCCATTGTGTCCGTCATTCAGTATCTTAAAGGTGCTCTTTGTAATATTTTGGTAAGAGATCTGCCTTACACATGTATCCATGGAGATATTGCTTTGCCTGGAATGTTCCACAGTATGGCAACTTATAAACTAATTAAATTTATCTACCTTGCATTTATTCCATTGCAACTGAAGCAGGAGGAGAGGCACCCGGCTGGTCCCTAGAAAAACTCCTACTTCTGGTCCTCCCCCAGTGATACAACATTTCAGTCCCTCAGACATTCCTCCTTCCTACCTGAGGAAGGTCTGGGAGTTTTTCTTGGTGTCAGCTTATCTCCAGTGAGTGAAACAGTCCAGGCAAAATAATAAATATCCATGGAGACCCATCCACCAGAAATGTTTCCCAGTGTGCTTTAAGTATTTGGTATTTTTATGTATTGCTTACTTGATAAAGAAAATCCTCTGAGTTCTGACACTGCTTGTAACCATGGCAAATTCGCAACACCACTCCCAAGAAGCTTTTATCTCAGTTAATATAAGGCTTTATCTGTTGTGTTTCTTAAAAAGAAAATGGTCCATGTTTAGAATGTTATTGTTGGACTAGAGTGGCATATATTAGTTTTATACAAAAACAAATGTTCTCTGACAAAACAAATACACATATACATTGGTTTAACACTAAACCTTAGGCCTTCACATCAATGTCTCTAAAATGATTATTATCAGATAATCCCACTAATCATTGGTTCGATTGTGTGAAAGAGACCCAATCAATACAATGAATTGAAAAGGCTTTAGATTCATGTTTAAATAGACTTATCACCAAATTGACTGAAAATGCCAAATAGTGTTGGGGTCAGAGGGTATAATCTTGGATCAATATAACTAACATCGATAGAATGCTGTCTGTCTGTCAACAGGTAATTTTGATGCACAGACACGCTCTCATGACTCACAGATGCTGTTTAAATCTGCCCTTTGGATATTTTTTGACATTCTCTCTGGCTTCAAGCTGATGGTTTTACACAAAGAAACACTATGCATTGTCAATATTTGCAGAGGTACTAATTAATACAAGGAAAGTGTTTACAACAAGAACACAAAGTGCAAAAGCTCTGTACAGAAAGGGTGAATTTAGGTCTATCAGAATAATTACTGTATCAAGTTATCCTTCAATACATGACAGATGGAACAATAATCTTTTTTTTTTTCTACACTATGATTCGAGCTTTAGTCCTTAGTTTAGTCCTGGTTTAGTTCTGGTTTAGTCCTGGTTTAATCCTGGTTTATTCCTGGTTTAGGTCTGTTCTAGTCCAGGTTTATTTCTGGTTCAGTACTGATATAGTTATGGTTTAGTCCTGTTTAGGCCTGGATTAATCCTAGTTTAATCCTGGGCTAGTCCTGGTTTAATCCTGGTTTAGTCCTGGTTTAATCTTGGGCTAGTCCTGGTTTAGTTCTGTTCTAGTCCCAGTTTAGTTTTGGTTCAGTCCTGGGGTAGTCCTGGTTTAATCCTGGTTAATCCTGACTCAGCCCTGGTTTCGTTCTGGTTTTGCCCTGTTTAGCTCAACCTTTCAAATACCCTTAATTAATTTGAACATTTTTGGTTAGTTTTTGCACTATGATAAGATAAAGTTGTTGAGGGTTAATAATAATTAGTAATAAACTTCCATGACTCTTTATAAATACACACTAACTAAATATTGAACAATTTTGGGGGGATAAACCTGTTTTTTGGTTTCAGTATTATAGTTTATTGTCTATAATTACTTCAGCAATATGAGATATATTGCTTACTTTTCTCATGTTTTTAGGTGAAATCAAAACATCTGAAACTGGATTGGAAATAGTAGATCTGCACAGTTTAGTGTAGTGTAGTTTGTGTAACTTTTCTAGTGGAGGGTTCATCAAATGCTTTTCTTCCTGTTGATGTTATTGCTTTGTCTGGAATGCTTCACAGTATAGTATTAAAATGTATCTATCTTCATGGAGACCAAACCAGACCAAGTTTCAAATCAAATCTGACAGTGAGGCAACGCTGCTCACTGCCCAAAACATTACACTGTGCACCTTCAATTTGGCATTGTCTTGGGAAACTTTAAAACATGTGTGCAAATAATATTCACAGTCAAGTTTAGATGCTGCTTCTCAGTTTTATAATTGTCAAGAGAACATTTTTCAATTGAGTTTAATAAATCCAAACAAGCAAGCCTTTATAACTGAGATTTCTTATTTAGTTTCTCAAAGCATCTAAAAAAAACTTGAACAAGAGCTAATCAGTGATGAAAACCTCAAATCTAAATTTATTTGATTTTTGCTTTTCTATTCCAATAATTAACAGAGTGGGGCTGTTAGCACAAATGCTCAGCCATGTTTGATCCAACCCCACTTGGATCTTGTTCTGTAAATGTAATTAGCGAGATATTCAATAGTTGTGTATTGGCGGTTATTTGCAGAATACATCATTTGAATTTTCAAAAGATTTCAAAATTTGAGCAATTTATTCACTTTCAACTGAAGATTCAAACTGTTTAGGAACACTTTCTTTTCCTAAATAAGTCTTCTTGGCTGACCTCAGTGCTGCATGTGCCTGAGGAATAGTGCCCAAATTCCCTTTAGATTTCATGAAAGAAATTATGGTTGGCCTCCCCAGGATTCAAACCCACAACCTCTTTACTCAAAGGCAGGGAGCTAACCACTCTGTCTATCAATACGCTTTTAGTCTGTTGAAAATTGTACATTGGGCAGAATTCAGCGGACCAACAAAATGCACTATTGATTGGAGTGTGCTGGCTTTATTGAATGGTCCATGAAAAAGCCAGACAAAACCACTTTTTACACTTTCAGCCTTGAATCTCTCATTGGGTTCAATAGGAATTGGGTGTATTACCGCTGGCCCTCATTCACAAGGATAGGGCAATATCACAGACTTAAATTATACCATGTTACCACAGTGGATGGGCCTGCCAGGTGTGATGGAGAGAGCTATTAGGAAGCACTTGATTTCCCCTTTGCATATGATTTGAATAAACGCTTCCGAGCTCTTAAGTACTGTGCGCTTGTCTAATAGTCAAGTAGCTGCAACTGAATTTGAAATATGCATAAAATTAAAACTGGACTCAACAGATAAAAATAAAAAAAAACGTTTCTTTTAGTATTACTGATTCATGCAACAATTTAAAGGTGTATTGTGTAACATGGGAGTGTCTGACATCTTCTTGTATCTATGAAGATTATGATTGCTTTCCTTGCTATGCGCCACAGTATGGAACTGAACGTGTCTTCCAGTAATTCAACTATATAGACATGGTTGTTTGCTATAACAATGCCATGCAAATATGCATTCTTTCTGTGAGCAGCCTTGCCTTTCCATAGATCTGACCTGCAACTTGGCATGGTGGCATCACCTGCTTGTTTCCATGAAAATAGTAGATACAGTTAATGCAATTTAACATCTCCATCAAAACACACCCTCCAACAGAAAATGCTCATAGAGCCCTGTTAATTAAATATTACTAAAATGATTCTAGTTAATTTAATTAATGTGTCATTATTTGGGCACCTTTCCTGAATTATATTTATTTCCTATAGTTTTCCAAAAATGCTGTTTTATGTATTTTACCACACTTATTCTTGCCACTTTATGTAATCTACAATGCAATTTGTAGACCCTTATCTTCAGTTATAGGCATGCTGTGTAACATTTCTAGTAGAGGGTCCCCCACCTGCTTGTCTACATGGAAATGTTATTGCTTTGTCTAGAACAGTGGTAAGAAACTTGTGACAAATTTGGCACCTTAGATCATTTCTACTGCGAGACGATTTCTAATTTCTAATAATAATGGCCCACCGATAAAATGCATAAGATAATTTGAACTACAGTTCCCATAATGCATTGCGGGCTGTAGCACCAATTCAGCCCCTTCAGATGAAAATAAACAGCAGGACGAAGTGAGAGGGGCAGACAGAAATCAAAAGATTAAAATGCCATTGTTAATGTTTTTTTTTGTATTTTTTTCACTATGATTCATTGCCTGCTGGAATCAAATATAATGCTTACTTTTAGAGAGATTTATCTTAAATATATTGATATTGCAAATATTCATTCAAGTTTACTCTGTATGAGGCTGCATGATAGTTTAGTGGTCATATATAATATGTTAAATAATATGCGGCCCCAAACCAACACTGATTTTATAACTTCAGTCCCTGCTACAATTGAGTTTGAGTGCGTTGGTCTAGAATGTTCCACAGTATTAAATTAATTTGATTAAATCTATCTATCACGAGGGAGACAGATTACAGCACTATGTTACAATGCAATTCAGATCTGTGGAGAATCGCCTTTTCACAGAGGGAATCATTAACACCTGAAATGAACATTTAACTAGTATGTTTAATGTCTCACCATGGAACATTCCAGGAAAAGCAATAACATCTCCACTGTGGTAGGTAGTGGACCCTCCACCAGAAAAGTTGCACATAACACCTTTAATTTGAAAACCTTGTGTTTGGATAAAAATGTGTGCTTAGACTCACCATTGGAGGCGGTGAAATCAATAGCCACGGTGAAGTTGATCTGGGTCCTTGAGAAGAAAAATACAGAGAAAGAGACAGGATTCATTAATCAAACAGTATTTTACTCCAGACACACAATCAAGCCCATGAACTGTGGACACAATCGAATTACACTGATCAATGTTTGAGAGAGCTCCTCCTGCCCTTTACCGCTGCAGTGGCAAAGACTTTGTGCTTTGTAAAGGAACGCATTCAAGTGTTGAAGAAAGCCTGATTTTAAAGGAGAAGTGGGGCTACAGAGATGTCATCTGGAAGTGCTAGTGCTGGCTTAGTCCTGGTTTAGTCCTGGTTTAGTCCTGGTTTAGTCCTGGTTTAGTTCTGGTTTAGTTCTGGTATAGCACTGGTTTGGTTCTGGTTCAGTCTTGGTTTAGTCCTGGTCTAGACCTTGTTTAATTCTGATTTAGTCCTGGTCTAGTCCTGGTTTAGTTCTGGTTTAGTCCTGATTCTGTCCTCATTTATCTAATTGTGTTATTTATATATAACAAGTATTGTATTACAATTGCACTTCGATTTGTAAGTTATCATTTAAAATCAGGAATTTATCCTGTTTAAATCCATATTATGAGTTTTTTTTTATATTAATTCTAATTATAATCAATTAGAATGTGTTTATTTTTAGGATATAAAGCAGTGGATTCACCAAATTATTATCATGATTATTGCACTCTTCAGTTAACCTTGTTGGGGACAGATTGGTGGCAAAAACACAGTGTTCTCTCTTGGAACTAGACTTTCTATTTCACCAAATCAAAATATATAAATGCATCAAAAACATACAAATATAGGATGTGTTGTTGATTGCAGTGAACATTACAGCAGAAATACAGCTGCTGTGATACAAATATTCAAATGGTGATTTCTTTTTCAGACAGATTGATCTTGCAGCCTGATTTCTAACACATCTCTTACACTCATCTGATGCTATTTGACACCATGCTGCTAACTGCCAACACAAATCAATCTTGTTTTGCTTCAACTGGTTTGATAAGGGTTTGTGATATACCAAAATCACATAAAAACACTGTACACAAACACAGAAACAACTCAACAACTCCACTTCAAACTCTCTTCAAAACACATCACACTTTTTAACCTGGAGCAACAGGATCTAGTTAGGTGCTCTGTTGGTCTGTCACTATGTTCACACCTCTCCTCTCACACACACAGACACACAAACACATACACACGCACCCCCTCGCATACAGTAACACACACACACAGACACGCACACGCACACACACACACAGACACGCACAAATAAGTGAAGTTTACAAATAACATCCACTGCCTCCATGGAGCTGTCAACACCTTATTGTATCCATCAGGTGGAGGTGGTGGAGCAGTGGGTGAACTCTGGGTATGTCGCTTATAACAAGTATTAGTGGTTTGGAAAATTAGTACAATGTATGTTGTTCAAAAAAACAAAACAAATCAAAACAAAAAACTAACATTTCAAACAAATCTGGGCAATGTTTTTGAAATCAACATTTTTGACATGACATTTTCAATCTGAAGGTACTGGTCTGTGAAGCCTAAGACAACTCTTTTCTGCTTAGTGCTTTTTTATACTGTGAAATGATTTAAAGGGCCCATACTGCACTATTTGCTGATCTATATAATGTTGTTTCCTCATCAGAAATACACTTGAAATTGTGTTTTGTTTCATTCACATGTTTCACTCACAAATCCTGTATATTTAGGCTCTGTTTGATTCTCTCAAACAGAAAACACTTTGTTCCACCTTTTAAAATCATGTGGTCTTAGAAAGAGGAAGTGCTCCACTGTTTTTTTTTTAACTCCATACACATTCACTAGAATCATATTGATGATTTCAGCCCTGGAATTTCCAATATGATAAAAGGTAGTTGTTAACACGAAAACGACCACATCATGACATCCCAAGATGGAACAGAGCATTTTGAGCTTTGAAGGTGTATGCTAATAAAAAAGGATTACTTAGACTTAAGTGACTAAAACAAAACTCTTTTGCTTTTGTGGAGGTAACAATATTCTAACATGGCTAAAAGATCACAAGAATCTATTTTGTGTAATATAGGACCTTTAACATGATTTTGTTAAAATAAAGAGTTCAGGTGTGCTCAGATGTTCCTTCAAACCACAACAAACTGAAGTTGTCTCATTTCACAGCGCTCCTCTTGAAGCAGTAGACAGTAGGGTGCTCATTACTGTGTGTGAGACTGGAGTGGTTAATGATGGGAGCTGCACTGCTACTGTCACTCCACTGCACAGGACTAAATACAGGCTGAGTGGGCGGGTCTGTGCTGTTTGTTTTAATATTCACTTCTAATCTTTGTTTAATGATTCCAGAAATAAGTCTAAAATGACTCCTGGACCAATATTCAATTTGATTACATTATTGTCCATGCTAAATATTGAGTTCCTTGGCTTATTTTCTGTTCAAACAATGGGGAGTGAGTAGATGAAAGTACATACAATACTGTGTTATTGCCTTCGCCGTGTTCAATTTAATAAATTCAACCCAATCTCCAGTGAGAAGTTAAAAAAAAAACATTGCTAATGTGTTATATGTATATTGAGGATTGAGGCTTCACAGCAGTTTTAACATTTTACATCAGAGCATAAAATCAAATGGACCAATGCATCCTTAAAGGGACAGTCCAGAATTTTGGACATAGGACCTCATTTCCTAGTTAGCCAAAGTGTTGGAGATGTGTGGAGACACTTTTGAAAATATTCCATCCAGTCCTTGTATTTGCAGAGGTCGCTGGTCCTAGACTAGTGCATGTCAATGGCCATAGTTGGTGGGCACTAAAAACAGTCTTACCCACTCCACAAAGCACCCAAAGCAAAACAATTATAACGCCAGACTGTTCATGTGAATGTCTGTGTCGATAGAATAATTTTCAAAGAAAACCAACCTTGCATTTGAAGGATTTATGTCTGAGCAGCAGCAGCGAGTTGTACTTCCTGATAGAAAGCTTGGCAGTGGTGGACTGAAATCACCTAGCATCTATCTTACCAGCAAAATAAAATTCTGCTGCTGCTGAGAAAATAGTCCCTCAACATGAGACAATTAATGCACTGCAAGGTTAGTATTATTACAAACATTATTCTTTCAACACAGACATTTATATCGACAGTCTGGCGTTATAATAGATTTGCTTTGGGCGTTTTGTGGAGTGGGTAAGACTGATTTTAGTGGCTAACTATGGCCATTGACATGCACTAGCCTAGCAACAGCGACCTCTGCAAATACAAGGACTGGATGGAATATTTAAAAAAGTGTCTCCACACGTCTCCAACACTGGAACCAGGAAATGACGTCCTATGTCCAAAATTACGCACTGTCCCTTTAATATTTACAAAGCAAATATCAAATTATGATCTGCAAAACCGGATAGATTAAAGCTCTATGGCAAAAATCAATCAATCAATAAATACAGAGTTAACCAATAAGAAGAGAAAGTGGGGAGATTTTTTTCCCCCCACACACTCCTCCTTAAACCAATCACAGAGACGTATGAACTCTCAGAAGATACAAGCAGCTTTAGTTACTTTTTAAAGGCAACATATAGCTAATAGTATGAGGAATTCATATATGTTTAAGGTGAGCAGAAATCATAGTCTAACAAAATAATGGTATGAGTTGTTTTACATACTAACCACTGCTGGTTATAATGCCATGACAACTTTGTGTATTTGGTGCTACACAGTCCATAAAAAATAAATGTTAAAGTATGGTGTGACAAGTAGGTATTCCAGTTTTTCCAAAAGTCAGCAGAACAATCACTTGCAGAAACATTTAGAACAAATCCAGTGACAGTGGACATTGCTTAAATCCATGTCTGTCTTTCTCAGTGCTACAGCAAGCTACAGCCTGGAAGCATCAATTATACATGCCCCCTTGCTCTCTCCCTCTCCTTCCTTCTGTCTCTTTCTCTCTCTCCATCCCTCTATTGCTCTTTCTCTCCCTCTCATTTTCTCTCCGTCTCCCTCTCCTGTCACTATGCAGATGCACGTAGCGTACTTGTGTTGATGTGTGTGTGGGCAGGGGGAGGCCAGACAAGGTAGACTGGTTGACAACTTGATAAAATGCCACAATTGTAGAGGAAGCAGACAGTTAAGTTGGGCATACGTCAGTGCTCTGAAAATGCGTCAGCCAGCTATTGTGTACAGTTTAGTGGCTGTCAGGGAAAAGTGAGAGAAATCTATGAGAACTTTTGGAGAGTGACGCTATGTGTATGGATTCATGTTAGCAGGAGACCACTTCAAAAGCAGAGAGCAGATTCAAAGGTACACCACTGCAACTTTTTATGACTGGTGCAAGTAAAAGACTTGGTAGCCCCAGAGCAGCACTTGATTTGACATCCCCATTGTGACAGTAAACAGAGAAAATTAATATCCAAACCAGAACAAAGCTCTTTGTTAAAAGGTCATCTGTTCCTTCAGTGTTAATCAGGCAAAAATGAGGATGTTTAATCAAGCTTAATACATTATTCTGGTATTTTTGGAGCCTCTGTGTAAAAAGAGTCTACCCACAAAGTTTTAATAAGCAAATCATCTGCCTAGATCATCCAAAAATAACCACTTCATTTTCCTCTTCTCTTGCTAAATATATGAATTTCCTATTTACTCTTCTTTAGTGTGCTACTATGTTTTCCCAATCAGAACTGGCCAAAAATGGCACACAAAAAAAAGAGTTCTGTTATTGCAAAATAATATTCCTCAAATAGAAATATAAAGTAGTAGTCCAGGAAATTACTCAAGTAGAGTACAAAAGTATATTCGGGAAAAACAACTTCCCAAGTAGTCTGTTGATATAATTGGAAGAAGACAAAATAAGATCTCTGATTACCTCCAAAACTTCGAACATGAGATTTCTATTTTTGTATCTTTTCTTTTTACAGGATGTGCATGAAGTTCTGGAATAGTTTGTCTGTGTCAAAAGATTGTGCTTCATAATAGTGTGGACGGAATATGAGCTGAAGTAACAATGTAAATTTTGAGACCAACATCTAGTGTTTAA